GGGAGGAATGTTTACGAAGAAGTTTGCTGTGTACTGCTCAGTGAGGCTCAGCCTAAACCTCTGTTCTGAAACGTGGCGGTGAGGTCAGGCTCATACAGCCCATTCCCATTCCCCGTGAATCCCACCCTCCGGCAGTCCTCCAATTCTCTGCCGTCATGGAACTCCCTGCCAAGTCGTGCCTTGGTTGGCAGTACCAAAGAATTTTTGACCAATTTGTATTTGCATTGTTAGTCACGAACGGCGTACTTGCAAATCCAGCGGAAATTATCAAAGCTATTCCCAGTGAGACGACAAATTTCTATTCCGCTATCTGTTTGTTTGCTGCCAAACACACTTGACCTCATCTGCCTATTAGCCAGCTTCAACTTGGCCCCTCTTGTCAGCGTAGGAAGAAAAGTTATACCTGATGCGGATCATCCATTCATGGTACGTGTTTCGACTTTCGGGCACCAGCTCAGACCGTTTGACGATCTTTTGTGTCTTTTGTCAAAATTAGCCACCTGGGCCTACTGACGTTCGAGGTAGGGAATCGATCCTCAGATCAACTCTAGGCTGAATTGACTCTTATAATGCTTTGTCTTGTGTCTTTCGATGTTTCGCAGGCGGATGTCCAGGGCTGAATTTATTAGCCAATTATGGATACGTGAGTTAATTGGTTACTCCAAATTCTCCGAAAACAGATTGGCCAAGATTAAAACATTTGATCAATAGATTCCTAGGAGCGGGATCACCGATATGACAACATTGTTGTATGCAATGCAAGAGGGTTTAGGGTGACTGCTTTATAAGATATCATCATTCCCCGATTGAAATGTTGATCATGTTTCTATCAGCTTGGCCTTGGTTTTGGTAGCCCTTGCTATCAAGACATGTGTAGATTTGACAACGTGAGTATCGAGCTTGGAATGCTTTGAAGCTTGAGCAATATGGCTTTGGTTATGTATTTGAAGCGAGGTTATTCTTAATATATGTTTCCTGCTCACTCAATGTAGCCTAAAGATGTCTATTGGTGACACGGATGCTCGGACTGATGGTCCACTGACTTTTTTGTTGGGAAGAACCCCTGGACTATTTGCCCCTCAGACTCACAACAAATATGAAGGTCTGTGCAGTTTTTTTTGTACATCGTTCACTTTGATAACATTCTGACCTTGAGCCTGGTATAGTTGACGGATCTTTGACAACGGATGACGCTTACTTTGCGGGAGGCCAAACTAAACAATTCGATGGTTCTAGATGGGCAACCTGGTATAAACTCGCAGGTCAGAGTTGTTTTATCATGAGGTTCGAGCGGCGCGTCTTCTTTTCAAGCTGATCTTGTCATATTGACAGAGACCAAATATAACGGCATCATGACCGCTGCTTGGAACGGAGAAGTTAGATCCATGCAGGTGCGTTCTCGCCTCTGACAGGCCAAACCAGAAGCTCATTGATTTGATGTTCTGGAATTTGGGATTCTAAAGTACGATATGTGTCGCAATTCAAACCCTGAATGCCATTGGGTAAGTATCAGGTTATCAAATGCCATGGAAAGATTGACAAGCTGATTCACTTTGATTGTCTTCATATAGGGTGTAATAGAACAGTAAGAAACATAGGTGTCAAGTATGCTTCGCAGAAATACTTACTTGAATTGAACCATCCGTTAGACTTGTGTTCTATCTAGGTCAAGCCTTCATTCCGACTATGATGACATCAACTGGAGCGGACGGATTACCCGGACCAGCATTGGTGGATTCCATCAACCAGTTCATGGGGATAGTCAAACAGCCCGATGGGACTTTTACTCGTGGGCATTCGCATCTCCCTCCCGGTCCAGAAGGCGTTTGGTATAGACGAACGATACCCCTCACCGTAAGTTGCAAAACTGTTGATACTCACGACATAAGCCTGATTGAAGTTGTCCTTTGTTCCAGACGGTCGAGCTCGCTGTGCCTGGTGCTCTGTCGTTGCTCTCTCGTGAGTTTTGAGCTCAATCTTTACCTTACTCAAATCTCAAACTCTTTCGTTTATCTTGACTGAATTCACTTCTCTTCAGAGTAAGCTACGTTCTCTTGTTATATCGGTATCCGTCCTTAGTTTGCCCTAGAGAGCCGCGTGGTCGTCTCTTCTACACGCACTAATATTTTTTTGTGCTTGTGACTATAAATCATCAACAGTTTAGTAAGTCTCTCTGTTCACTTCAGGGCATGATCCACCATATTGACTTACCAAATCATCTCAACAGCCCCAATTCGGTCACAATGAAGGAAGAGTCGGAAAATGGAACGTCGCCCCAATTCAAATCCCCGACGTGATTGCTGCTCCAACAGTCGCCTGTTTGTTATTGAAGTCGGTCAGTACGGTAACACCTGATGAACTCTGTTTTTAATTTATAGAATCCCGATCACCAATTTTTTTTGTATTTTTTCCAGGCTTTGGATACCAATGGAACTAGATTCGAAGGAGCTACTCTACCTCCTCTCAAAAACTTGCTAGAATATGTTCTTGCGCCTGTCAAGAATCAATTATCATGTAACTGATCTTTGGACTTCTGCTTTTGTTAAAGTTATTTGTATCTATCTGTCGCTCAAGGTTTTGATCGATAGGTTGTTCAGTGGTCCTGCATCTGGATTGCCATTCTCTCTGAGATCCAGTAAGATGTACATGAGTCAATAACGCTCTTCAAGTATAATTCAGGTATCTCCTTTCTCATACACAATGTAGCTATCTTAGATTCTGAGTCTCAAGGGAAAAGTCAAACACACTGAAGTGAGAATTTCTGTGACGTTGAGCTAGTTGAACACTCCTTTTGCTTCAAGATCTTGTTGGTGCAAAGATTTCCGTCACAGTGTTCAGACTTCTTCTTTGAACTCTTATATTATGAAGCTCGGTGCCGAATTTATACATGTTGTTCTCTCGCCTCAGCTTGCATTAACTCAGGGAGGCTCTCGAGAGCCGTTGTGCCCTGACTCGACCAACTCACATAGTCAGACATTTCGTCCTTGCAAGGGCCCAAGGGGATTATGCTTTCTTCTCCATGAGCAACTTCGCAAAGATGAAGATTTGTTTCACGGAGAGGATGTTAGAAATTTCTAACAAGATTTGATTATAGAAGAAAGATGAGGTAGCGAGACAATAGGTTCAAATCACTAGATATACAAGATGATGATAAAAAAAAAGGAAAAAAAGGGTACTGTGATACAAAAAAGAGAAAAAAACTCCAAACTTCACAACACAAACTGAAAGTCCTCCAGAAAAAATACATTTTTCCCCTCTTTGACAGAGTTAATCATCTAGCACAACTTGGTTTCCACTCCAATATCTTGACCTTTTGCTCAAGTAGACAGAGGGTATCCAACTCATCGAATTGATCACTTCCAACGCGCAATCCTCAAAGGCTTCGTGGTCTGCACCAACTTAAGCTCCAACTCTGTATCTACAGCCACTGGTCTACCTCTGGAAAATAGATGTCTGGTAGGTTCAGCTTCTGAAGTTGTGTCACCATTTATACGTCTTCTAGGACTCGTAGACATCTCAGCTATTGGAGCGGGTATGAGAGATTGTAAGATTCCTAAAGACAGCGCTCGAGAGGTTGGTATAGGACCCTTTCGACGTAAGAAGTGGCGAGGAGGTGAGATATTCACTTTGATAGATGAATAGTGCGGGTTTTCAAGAGTCACCCAGATCTCGTTTGTTTTCACTGGAGAGGGCTTTGAGCTCGAAGTCTTGGTTGAGCTTGTTGGAGTGATCAGTTCATCTACTTCTGGTGGTCCTTTAGGCAGATATTTGTTGGATTCCGGGGTTGTGATGATCGTTTTACACTCGGAAGTCTCAGCTGCTGGGATACCCCCGAGCTCGGGAGTGCATGGGCCCAAGTTGTGATAGCGTAGTATGTCGAGAGTTAATTTATCGACGTCTGAAGGTTTCAATGAGCTTGATGCTTCAGGTGATGGAACATCTGAAGCAGAACCACGTGCCTCGAGCGTAGCAGGACCAAAAATGATGGGGGAATCGAGTAGTCCTTCACGCTCTAGCCTTTTATTGAGTGCTGGTAGGTCGGCGATTTTACTGACTTCATCAATCGATTGAGACGCCTCGCTACCGCTTATGCTACCGGCCTGAGGATTACAGCGAATATAGTCAGCACATATGAAATAAGAAGACATTCAAGCATATATTCAATGTCTCAAGACCGACCTCGTTACAGCCACTTAAACCGCTGATCACACCATCAAACAGTGTACTCGCCGCGAGTCGGTGGGATATGCTTGCAGGAAGAGTTAAAACTGGGAGTGGCATTGGTGGTGGCATTGGTGGTACTAGGAAAGACTCGGAATTCTAGGAATGGTTTTATTGTTTCTATGGATTAGCGATCATAGAATGCTAAAAACAGGCCAGAGTAAAAAGAGAAAGATGGGCTCACTTGAGCTTTATACGAGGTCGACAAACTTATACTCGACTTTGAGGGTCTGAGTTTATGGACCGCAGAGCGCACTCGAGTATGAAGCTTGGTCTTAGAGTCAGTGAAAACCATGGTGCCAAAAGAAGTTTGAGATATTGAAGTTGATGATGGGAGATGGAAAGTTGAAAGGGAGTAGTTTTGGAGATAGAAAAAGTCAAGGAAGAGGAGAAACGAGGAAAGAAAGCAAGTGAAGAATAGATGCCAGGAATAAAGCTTTCTGAAAGGCAGTGACGCAGAAAGTAGCAGGTTGGTATTGGTGATAAGGACTTGATTATCGTAGTGAGATAATGATAATGTAAAGTTGGGAAGCAAGGTCTTGGGCATGTGAGAGATGAAGACTTTGAAGGCCATTTTTATACTTTAATCGCGGTGCCTGGAAAGGCTAGCGAGAGAATGTTGCATCCATCATGCTGCAGACCTACTCTTCATCAGGTCTGAGGAATAAAGATCCTCTCGGTCATTTTAACTATCTTCAACCGCCAAATACCTGGAGGAGGTCTCTTAGTTGCGCTATTGTCACAGATAGGGACATATCTTTAAGCAGATTATCAAATAGGAATGCGACCTGAATAGCACATTGACAAAGCAGGACCAGTTGCTCCACTCAGTTCTCATGGCCATCGATTGGCTCAAGGGATTTTGGCGATTTGAAGTGCCAACGGGTGCCTAGGAAGCGCCTATGAAGAGTGAAGTCAGTTCTTCTTCTATGGCCGCCAACGAGGATTTTGAGAAGAGGTACCAAGAACTAATCATGCATATTGCGAGTCACGAATGTCAACAGAGTCGAGCTTCGGTCTGGCGGCGTGCCTGAAGAGCTAGCATCACATCATACGACAGTGAGATTCTAGCAGTCATCTTGAGCAAGAAATCAGATTAACGCCCAACTTCACACAAGTCCATTCTCACAGACACCCAAGCCTGCGAGGATGACTAGTGTCTGGCTGAGGGACTTGGTTAAGTTAGGATTGATACTATGGGTTTTTGAGCCGCTAAAGATTGGTATCATGATGCTGTCTCAAACCGCTCACGATCCGTAGACGGTAGTACATAGAGTTGAATGTTTTTTGCCATTGGCATAACTTTTACAAGGTATCGTTGAGGGTATGTATGAATTTTGGTCTTCGATGCTTCAGACAGCTGCTATAGGCTTTTATACCTTTAGGTCAACTTTCAGTCCCGACCATCACAGAGCATCTCTTGACTTTGTCAATAGTCCTCGAGTCCTCATAACTTGTATGCACACCGTCATCATTCACATCACAAATCCTCATGGCCTGCAAGTTAAGATCATAACCACGCAAATCAGGTGGCATCTGCTTATGAGGAATGCATCTGTATTTGCAATGAGGAAACCATATCATTGATACATTCTCGAAATATCTGGAATATCGGATCAATAAACTTGACTCGACGTGCAGTACATAACTGCATCATCTGAAGCTGTCTTTCACGAGCACTGTATAACTCTTAGAGGACCTTGTAGCAAACGCCTACGAGAGTGCATATATTTGAGGTGAGTTCTGGTAATAAGATTTGATAAAATTGGTATGGTACATTAAACGCATGCGAGGGCTGATATGAAGCCGCCAACTTGTGGTCACGATCCATGTGGTACAGTGGTTAAAATTATATTGTTTATATTGCCAGTGCCATTCAATACCCCATTTCACCCATCACTGCTGAACAGTCATCGGTAGTAGGACGATGGCTAGCAGGAGAGTGTCCATAGTGAATGCAGACGTCTCCAACATGAATGCGATAACTGTCCTCGGTCGATGGACTCGAGCCGTGACTCGTTCATTTTTGTGCTGCCTCTGGCGCAATCGCATCGCGAGTTATGATTGGCATTAGAATGACTTGATGTGAAGTAAGAGTACCAAACAAACTAGATAATCCTGGATTATCCGGTGACTGGCGGGTCTTGGAGGCGAAGTGATGTTTCTTCGACTTTTTCTCGAGGAGGCTGTTGTCTCAAATGCTTCATCAATTGTCGGAAACTACAGAAAAACAAACCAAGAACCAAAAAGAGGAAAAAGGAGAAATGACAAATCAGCTTCTTTCAATGATGACTTATATGGATAAGACTGACTAGATATCATCAAAGCCGTCCTTTGAAAATACACTTTGAGGATTATGCCATGGTGCCTTCTGCTCGAGTACTTTGGAACGAGATTTACGTCGATCGACTGGCCAAGGATTAGGATCATCTTTTGGAGATAATAATTTTGTAGATTCGGTATAAGGTCTAAGCTAAGATTTTCCAGACAATAGATTTGATATCAAAATTTCGAAAATCCGTAAAAGATACTTGAAAAAATCACAATGAAAGTTTTTCATACATCTGAACGAGCCAAGATTTGTTTAAAATCAAGTACGACATCCGGAACCACAAAAGACCTCATCTTATCTGGATCAAGACGGTATGTCTTTGCATATTTTCGACCTGATCCATGTGCACCTTGTGATTTCGGACCTAGAGCGGGATGGCTACCAGTTCCTGTTGACCGTATGAATCATTCAGAAAAAGAGTCAGTTAAATTCTAAGACTTTCTCCAAATATTCAAGAGATTAAGCAAACCTTTGTAAAAACCTACGCCAGCTTGTTTTGATGTCAAGGGTGCTCGACGAGCACCATGAAGTATGCAAGAGGCTTTGAAGGACATGAATGATGAATGGTAACAAGATAAAATGGTCAAAAGAAAGTTGACTATAGGTCAAGTCGAATGCATACAGCTACAGCCTGGCATAAACTGGCATAAACCATGACTTAAATTATGTTACTTAAACCCTAATATTTAAGGCATTCAAGTACAAACATACCCAGCGTACAATATCAAGATGCACCATCACCATCCCGAATTTCTCCTTGCTCTGATGAAGCACCTCACATCAAACACATCAAGAGATTCCGTCAGGTTGTATGAAAGAAGCAGTTACCATTGAGCTAGGACCTGTGGCAACTAGTGTTTGAAAACGCAGTCCTATTCCCAATTCTTGAAAGTAGCCCATTACCTCAACAGCAGCTCATCTAGAGTGCGTGGTCAAATGTGATGCATGAATTCCTCTGAAACTTTGCATTCAAAATTGGTTGCAACAACATGCAAGAGATGGAAGACAAAGTTAGAAGAATGAAGTTATGTGTGATTCAGAAAGCAATTTTCTTGAGTGCGTTCTTGGAATATGATGTGGATTCTTGATTATGAGGATATTGCCATCATCATCATATCAAATTTGGCCCACTTGAGAGCTCAAAGAAGAAAAAAAGTGTCTTCTGTGTTGATGACACTTGTCTGTGTTGATGCTTTTCAGTCGTCTTGTACTGGTCATGACTCATGGGTGCCATCAAAGCTACTGCGGAGCACATACTGAAGAAGTTGGATAGTCACCATGATCTTCCCAATTTTTTGTAACACGAGCCCCATTTTCCTTTTTCAAGATGAGTTGAGTGGGCCATGTCAACATTGAACCCTTATCTTATGCTCAAATTGTCAATCCAATTCATATCTCCCGCTTTTCGTACCCTTTTTATCATGAAGAGGGGATATTTAAATCATCCTTGCAAGCAAGCAGACCCGCAACCCAACTCTGCGATCACAGGGGGTTCATCCCTCCTCTCTCGTTGGCTTGCCCGCCCGCCACTACAAAAGTGGTTCAGTTCGGAACTCCCCTTGTACTCATGAGGACCAGGGGTCAAGTGCTGTGATTATGTTATGAGATCTTATGATGAAACCAGGGCTGTTACTGAAATCGAGAGTGTTTCTGTCTCATTCGCGCAGCTTGCGTCGGCACCCCAGATACACCAAACGCACTGCATTTCGGCATGTTGGCTCGGTCGATCAGCAAGACAGGCGATATGTAGTTTACTTGAGGTTTATCATCCTGTCGTTTCCCAAGGACTACTGAAACCTTTTTTTGGGAGATGAATGCCATGAGATACACGGAGTGGCGTAAGAATCAGAGGATGATGCAATTTTAACCTTTTACCCATGTTGATGTGTGTGGATGTATGCTGATGATTGACTCCCTATGGGATACATATATCAAGGCTTGATCCGTCACCTGCTTGCGGTTATGTCAATGATCATCGGTTTGAATTCATTTTTGGATGCTCAGTCTTTGTGAGCGTTGCTCATTACTTGGTCTTGTGGACGATCACGGGCATTATCTTATAACACAAATGTCAATGCTCTTCAATTCGATTACATCATACCGATTAGCGAGAGTGACTGTAGTCTAGTAGGTCGTAGCTTCACTTGATCACACGCTTTCTTGTTCCTGCGCCTTGAATTCGGTTTCCCTTGATCGTTTTAAATATGAATCTTTGTTTGGATCTATTGAACACGTGAAATCATCCTTGTTTCTGAAATCCCTTTCAAATTTAACCAACTCCGTCTCCTATCCTATCATCATCATCACCCAAAACACCTTGAATGAAGAACATGAGCTCTATCACACCTAAGTTGTCTTCTAAATCTCAAACCCAACGACCTGCTCTTGCTTGTCTCAATATTCCAAATCATCCGTACAAGAACGAGGAGACAGATTCTTCAAGGTTCATAAACTCTCTAGAAAGTTTACACGGTATCTCAATACTTCAACCAAACCCACCATCTCGCAGGCCGATGTTATATTTATTTCCACGAGGTGATCCTGAAGCACCATTCGTACCACTTTCTACTAGACTTACCTTTAAGATTCCTGTCAAGCAAGTTGGAGAGAGTGACTCAGATTCATCAAGTATGTATCCTAGTACGGAGGAGGAGGAGGAAGAAGATGATGATGAAAAAAACATGGGTGGATTAGATTTTAAAGAATCCACTAAACTTTTAGATTCTTCAGCTATTCAGACTTCAAAAATAAAAGGTATATTGAAAAACTCAAAACATACCCCTAGACTCACAACAAGCCCATCCAGTCCCGCTTCTTCACTGGATTCAAGCTCTGCTATCTTATCTCCCGAATCTATGATCAGCGTTCCAAAAGTCAGAATAGTAGAACCCCTCGACGTATTAGGAGAGTTAAATGAACTAAGAAAATCGTTAATGTATGAATACGAAGGTAAACCGACACTCGCAAAAAAGATTGATAAACCTTTACCAGCTTCTCCAAAGCTTGGTTTGAAGAAAGGTGTGACGGTCAAATTAGTCGTTAAAGCTTATCAACGTACACCTCCGGCCACTAGTTCAAAAGCTAGGATCAGATGGATCTCATCTCGTGGTCTTGCTCTTAAATCTATTGATGACTCTCGCTCTGTCAAACTTCAATCCGATCATGCTGAGCTTGACTCATCCGAACATCTCACTTAATCCGACTTCTTCAAAAAATGTGTCTCGGATGACCAAGCAGGAAAAAATTTCAAGAAACTTTTCTTCCAACAATCCTTTTGTACTTATCCCAAAAAAATCAAAAATTAAATTTCTTCAATCTTATCTTTCTCATCTATGTACATTCATTTGGTTTCCAATACTTTTTTCTCACACCTTTCGTAAGTTCAACCTTTATCTATAAATCCCTGATGAATTTGAAGATCCAATCCATTAACATTCTTCTCTTTCTTACTTTTCTAAAGGGATCAAGGTTGATCCTTTGTATTTTTATAAGTTCAAGCCGTTTTCAAAACCCTATTCCATCTTACTGGATCAACATCAAAATGATTACGAATGATTATCTTATCATTGAGTCTATAAATCGCACGACCGGAAACCAACTTTGCAAAAAAGAATGATCAGAAATGATCATGGAGAGTAGTTCATGATTTACTTGTTATTTCTTTCACAAAACTTAAGATGATATTGTGTAGCCTGGATGACATAAGCTTTGGGCGTCAAAAGAAAACTCTCATCAGATGTTGGTATTATGCTTCATTGTCTTGTCTGGAAATTTGTGTTATCATAAATAGTGGTCACCATTTTCCTGTTGTTTGTCAAAAACTTGCTCGAAGCTCAGGAGAGGTATGTTAAGAATTGTGAAATATGATTTCAAGCGTGTCACTGTCACGAAGTAAGGTTTGAAAGTACAAGTTCATCTAGACCTTGAGAACCAGAAGAAGTGATCAATGTTGATTAGTCTGTTTCACTTCTTTCATTATGCTTGGCATTTCTCAAGGTACTTCCCATCTAGATCCCAAATACCAAAAATATACATCTCACTGTAAAATATACTTGTTTTGTGATTGATTGATGCTTCTTTTGTGCCACATACCTTCAAGTTCTGCTTGCAATTATTGAGCTGGAATAGACTTCAAATTTTGGACGGTTTTTCAAATCTTTTCTGGGTGGTGTTTGTGAGGGAAACAATTCCAACAGTGACAATTCTGATGGCCAACCAAAGGATCCAATAATTTTATGACCATGAGGTTACTATTGTACAGAAATAGTAGATGACAATTTGGCTCAGACAATCAGTTAGCGGTTTCAAGGACTACCAAGTTGTGCAGTTATTCCAAAGGTGAATAGCAAAGTGATCAAGTGACACAGAAGATCCATTGATATCCTCTGAGCTCCCCAATAGAAAATGTTCTTTGACAAGGTTATCATAAGACTTGAGTCTATAGTGATACTACTACAAAGTCACTCTCTTCTTGCTACCAACACAGTATGGGTGTGTTATAAAGCAATAGATACTGCTTTGATCTGCAAAGCTATATCAGACTCGAGATCAGTAAGGGACCACAAAGTGTGCTTGAGCAAGTTCTGGTGAGAATTTAAATCAGCATGTAGTCATTTTGGAATCAATTGTCCCAAGAACACAAGCTAGTAAAAAAATGTAATGTCAATAACAACAAAATTACAAAAAAATGAACGTCTGATAAAAACAAAACCAAAATAAAAAAGGATTGAAGTGTATAGAAAAGAAAAATGTTAAAATAATCTTAAATTTGAAATGCTCTGCTAGGAGCTATTAGTAATAATTATCACAGTAATGAAAACTTATCAAATGTCTGCTTAAAAAGATATATAGATAGCCTGGAAAAAGGCTTGATAATGAATGTCGACCAAGTATAATCACCACGACCAAAGAATAAAAAATAAAACCCGACTCTAAGAGATAAAGAATTGAAAAGATAAAGATAATAAGATGAGCATCGAAAAAAAAAATGATTTAATGAGGACCAGAACCAGAGAATCGTTTAGATTGTCTAACAAGTGAATTAACGAGAGGAGGAGAAGCCGAGTTCAAGTGACGAGAGAGATGTGAAGATTTTGATAAGTTGAAAGAAGTTGAACGAAACAAAGCTGTAGAGTTTGAATTCGAATAGGTTGGAAGAGGTAATGCAAAGAGATCAGAAGCAGGTGAAGTCCAAGCTAAGAAAGGCATGGATGTTCTAGGCATCGGTATGGTCGAGATGGTCACTGATCTTGATTTGTTGATGATCGGTGAAGGAGGAGGAGAAGTCAGTTCAGATTTGATGGCTTGAAGTGCTAGTTGTCGTCTTCTTTCTCGTTCTCGTTCTCGACCGCCTTTCATGGCACTTTGTCCCGTAAATTCACTCTCTTCTCCTCGTCTTCTTTTACCCCATACTAATTTATATTGAAGAGTTTCGTCACATGATTCGGTTTCTGAATCACTACTATTTCCTGATAAGTTGTTTGAGATTCGAGATCGAGGTTGATTACCGATATGAGAGATTCGAAAATGACGACGAGTTTTGAGAGGCACAAAAGGTTTATCGGTTAAATTTCTTACATAGTCAACTGGAAAAGACCTTCGACGAGACGATTGGCGAGTAGGAGTAGGAGTGAATAATTTAGCTAATGATAAGAATGGAATGAAAAGGAAAACTAAAAGATTCCAAAAAGTTATTAGATCGGTTTGGTTGGAATGATTGGGTTTCAAGTAGTGAGATTGATTGCAACTTACCAAGTAATAAAGAAATGAATTTAAGAAAACTAAATGGTTCGAATTTCATTTCGAGTACCATTGGAGTTGTATGATCTATGCCCAGTTGAGACAAGTTAATAGGATCTGACATTCTGAAACTTTTGACTTGAAACGAGTTAAAATAAGAAAAAACTAAAAAAATGTTGTATAAAGTGAAACGATCAGGAAATTAAGTAATTTCTTGAAGAATTTGATTGATGATGTGTAAAGATGAAGTGTAGGATTACAATTCACTTTTTGATGATTTGAATGTGTAAAATGAGTTCTTATAAAAGGCTTTCTCCTTTTGTTCTGTTTTGACTTTTCAAGTTGTAGGATTGAAGTTGAAGAAGAAGAAGAAGAAATCGATTTTCAAAGACTTCATCAGTTCTTCCCGTTCCTGTTTATTAAAACTCAATTAAATTTAATTCTAAATCCCGATTTCAATTTCAATTGGGGTAAATTCAAATTCAACCACAAATCGGTATCCACACACTACGGGCGGGGACTGCACTTGACAGGCTATGTACTACAGCACTACAACACTACACAGCCGTCGGTTTATGAGGTGATCGAAGGGAACAAGACGACCAAAATGGCAAGGTGTTGCAGACATATCGGACGAAAAAGAAAGTTATGCTAAAATCAAAACCGTTCGGTTTGAGTTGGTTGGGGTAGAGAACAATATGAGAGGATAGGAAAAAGGAACTCGATGCTCATGTAATCTTCTCCTATGGATAATGGCCCAGGCCAAATTGATGATCCAGTTTCGAGTGGGACATGGTGGTCAACTCATGATACATGCTTTGATAGGTCATCAAGCACTTCAAAATCGACAAGTCAGTCTGTCCTCCCTCTGATCTCCTTTAGAAAAGTCCATTATCAAATCCGGTGTACCTACTTCTTGACCCATTCTTCTTATCAGACACTTGATTTTCTTAATCCAAACAAAAGTACAAACTTATTAGGAGACACTCAAAGTCACTGGCCCAATGCTTTAAGAGAGCCTTATCTCCTACTCTCACTGTGTACTTCAGCTTAACTTTGCGTTATCCTGAGTTTCAAGGATGTCATCTTCTCAAGAGATCTTCTTGCGAGAAGCTCTGCTGTTCGAATCGATTCAATTGATGCTGGTATTCCGGAAGATTGACGATACTTGAAAAACTTGAGTTTCTAGACTACATGACTCCTCATTTGGTCACTTTACTCGGTTTGATAATCACCTCCTCGGATTCCACAGCTGATGATCAAGTTATTAGAGAATCACTCCATGATCAACACCGTACAGAGCAGTTTGTCATATTGATCTCATCAATAAACGCCGCGCACAGAGAGATTTCTTAAGATAGCGAATAAACATATTGCTTCTTTTTGATCACCGAATCATGATAAACATAAGCTGTGACCACTCTTCATCACAGCTTAAAACCATGTTATTTACATTGATTAGACGTTGAAATGGGAAACTTCAGATATACACGCATTGGCTTAACAATTTCTTGAAAAGGTTCCATAATTAAGAAGTTTCGGCGTTCATCGAGGCTATCAAGATGTAGTTTGAATGATTTTTGTAAAATAGGTTTTCCTTGTAAAAGTCTAAGTGCCAAAAACCTACAACAAATTTCTTGGATTTCGAAGCATAAATGGTAAATATGCAAATTGTTACAGAAAAATTAGTTTCTATACCTCCAAAGTCTGTGGATTCATTGGAATGAAAGATAATTCTCAAGTCTTGAAAAATTGTGTAAGATCCACTTTTTCAAATAATGTGACTCGTGTTTACGAGATGCTTTTTGGTGGGAAGTTCAGACCCACGAGTTGAGAATCACCCAGATAATATGTTGGTGAGGAAGACGTGCTGCCTGGCTTTGTTAAAATCCAAGTCGGACATACGTTTACGAGCCACAGACAAGATTGATTGGCCTTGGAAAGTCTTGATCGCTGTGTCTTGTGGAGCAAGTACTGCTTTTGTAGGCTCGAGATCTGCCGGTGAACCTTTTGACAAAATATCTCATGGAAGCTTCTTTGTCAAAGAAACAACTGCTGATGTGTAACGACCGGTGAACCACAGCTTGGGAAACCAAGTTTCTATCAAGAGTCAAAGACTCAAAGCATAAGGATTCATTGTATAAATAAAGTGAGTATATATTGAGAGGTCGCCATCAGCCGTTAAGCTCAAATCTTTGACGATGATGTCAAGGTTGGAGAGGGAGTTGAATGTCGACGGAGCCGGGTTAGCCTACCTGTCCGACTCGAATGCATCGGCATGTACCTTGAACCCCTGTGTACCGATACACCGCGATCAAATCGACAAACTAGCCCTAATGCGCAGCAGTCTCACTTACATAGGTCTGAGGAGCCGGACCCCCCGGCCAATAGCAGCAATTGGGCGGGTGCAGCGACACCCTCAACTAGGTGCCCACGCAAAAGGTTAATATTCACCTTTCTCAATATCCTGATTCCTATCTTATCGACACTTAAATTGACGTTTCTTCTCATCATCAATTAGGCAGTGATTCTTCAAGATGGGTTTCCGGGGTAACAACGTACTACACAAGAATCACTTTCGAAAAGATTGGCAACGTCGAGTCAAGACGTGGTTTGATCAACCTGGAGCCAAGAAACGCAGACGTAATGCTCGACAAGCCAAGGCTGCTGCTGCTGGTGTGAGGTGTGTTGGGATATCTTGCCTCAAGAATGATTTATGACCTTCGACGAATGATTCATCAATGCACCGATTCTGGAACGCCTGACTTACGATTCGATTGATCATCATCATTTCACAGACCTACCTCTCTCCTTCGTCCTGCTGTCCGATGCATGACCGTGCGTTACAACCGAAGACTCAGATCTGGTCGTGGATTCACCGCTGCTGAATTGGCCGCTGCCGGTATCCGACGCAAGGAAGCTCTCACCATTGGTATTCCTTACGATCACCGACGACGAAACAAGAGTGAAGAGGGTGTCTCCGTCAACACCGAGCGACTCTTAGCTTACAAGGAACGATTGATCCTTTTCCCCAAGAACGCCAAGAAGCCTGCCAAAGGCGACTCAACCGTAGGTAGTCTTATTCTACGACATGTCAACGACCTTAACTCACCTTTCTCATTTCCAATATTCCATGCTACAGGACCTCACTGCCCCCACCACTCAAAACATCACCTCCGTTCTCCCCATTCCATCTGGAACAAAGCCCGAAGCTGCCCGTGCAATCACTGCCGAGGAGCGCGAGTTCAACGCCTACCGTGCTCTCCGGGAGGCCCGAACACAACAGAGACAGGCTGGTATCTGGAAAGTCCGAAAACAAAAGAAGGTTCGTTGGTTTAAAACAATATGGGTTTCTGTTATTCACTCGACTGACCTCAAACTGATTTCTTTTTTGAATTAATAGGAGGAAGAGGAAGCTGCCAAGAAGAAGTGATTTCGACTTACCTTTCCCTTTCACATATGGGGTGCTTTATATGGCAATCTTCTTTGCAATCTATCGCGTCTCATTGCAATTTGCTTTCAACATTGCCTTGTCGACCTTACGTTGTATTATGCCAAAGAGTTCATTATGGATTAGGACTCAAAGTCTAAGTGAACCATATATGTCTGGTGTATAATCATGCCTATTTTTTCATGAAAAGTCTCCTTCAAAGGCGATCATATCAATTTACTCAGTTCTTCCGATAATACCTTTGACATGTGATCGTGTTTGATTCCACCTATTAAGTCACTCGTGGTTCTTGCCAAAACCTCACGCCCAGAGATCCACTTGGCAACCGAGTCTTGCGCCCACTTGAGTCACGGACTCACGTCCGGCATACAATTCCCTTGAAAAGGGTATTGAAACTGGAATTTCTCAATTGCCTTCATCAAATGCTGATCTAGGATTCCTCAAATCCTCCGGATGCATGATAGTCAATCCTCACCTAACCTAACTAAGTCCCTCTTGGAGAAAAGAGTAGTTGAGAGAGGGACTCAGAGCATCCACAGCCGTGTGGCGTAAACCATGTTGTGCGGAAATTTAGGGCAAAATCATCCACAGCTGATGCCCTAAATTTTCACGTAGCTAAGGGAATTCCCTCTGTGGGAGCCAAAATAGGCCAAATATGTTCTATTTTGGCTTGCTCCCTAAATTCATCTGTACCTCGCTTCTCCCATAACTCCCACTTCCATGACTGCACTCCCTGCAGAATATCTCCCTCGATGATCAACTAACCCATAACTCACTTCACAAAATATGCCACAAGCCGTACTGTATGACCCCATGGCTGTGCATTGTTTGAAATTTATGCCTCAAACACTTGCCTAAACAATCCGTGCAACGCTCCATACAATACAAATTTACGGCACGGCTGGGGATGCTCTTATACACCACTAAAAGGCTTTTGGGCAAATTTAGGTGAGTTCAGGGGATTTAGAGACCCAACCACTGCATGATTGTTTTCTTGTCCATGTAACATATGAACATCACATTGTGTCATTTTTGTGAGCTCCACCAATAGTCCACAGCACAGGACACCACTCCATTGTCATCACGGGAAGCTGAGATGTGTTGTATACGTAATGAAAGCTCAGGGCAATCAGCCGCTGACCCCACAGAGCTACTATGAACCCAAAACACCCATGAGAGAGACATGATTGTGCGGTAATTATATGTCCACAAGATATTGAACCAATTTGTTTTTTTTCTTTGATTTCTTACTCATAACCAACCAATACTTCATCTGTGCTGACCTCACCATCAGTGCATCCTTAAATATCACATCAGCCTCATTCTTTGGCTTTCATGCAGCCACCAAAGGAACAGGCAAATCAAAATCATCACTTCACAGGGGGTGACATGTATCACCTCCTGTGAAATGTGTGGGAGATTGGTCTGACCAGGTCTGGGTAAAACCCCTTGATCATGTCTGCTCATTCCTTTTGCATCACTCAGTGCCCCCAGTCATTCACATTTCAAACATTAATTCAATCTGTCATTCCTCTTGCTTTGATGTTATCCAACAATACCTCCACAGGGGCCCAGATCTCATGTGGCGGGCACGGCACATTTTTTGTGTCCTTGGATGTGCCTAGCAAGGGCGCGCCCAGGCATGTCTTTTTTTCTGAATCTAGGGGGGGTGCACCCTATCTGAATCCTAGTTGAATGAGACTTGGTTTGATAAGATTTGTCTTGCTTCTGAACTTTATTTTTGGCACAGGCACATGTATTCAAGAAACCCCACCTAAAACCCAACTTTTTCAACAACACCTACCAAATGGATTGAGCCTACTGCTAATAGTGGGCTGATGTGGACGGGATTCAAAGGGGACAATGAACGGAAGCATGGTTGCTGTTGCGCTAAGTGCAAGCATTGCAATGCCCAGATGGATGGAAAAACTGCTAAACTTTATTGCCTGTTATGAACCAGTACACAGCAGGGACTAAGGAAAGAGCCAGGAAGGTGCTAACCAGTAGGTAACTAGATTGCAGTGTGAGTCTAATAGAGATACAATGGTGAGGGTGAAAATCCCTTCTCATCACACTACAAGCATAATCCAGTATAAGGATTATTACAGTATTCCCCCTTTAAGGCCCAAACTCCTCTTGCAGTTCTACCTCCTTTCCCCGGGTCAGCATTAAAAAACCCAGTGGGAAAAAGCTTGACCCACTCTCATTTTCTCTGTGACCTTTTGTATTTACTTGTACTTGAGGAAACCTTAGATTAAATTCATTTACCATGTCTTGCGCGTTGATTAAATTGCTTGCTGGTTCCCATGAGTCCTCCCCCTTCCCGTAACCTTTCCAACTCACTAGATATTCTACCTTATTATACCTCTTCCTAGCATCCAGGATTGAAGCAATTTCCCATTCGTCCTCACCTTGTATTTCGATTGGAGGCGGTGGTGAACTTTTCCGAGATGTGATGGTATCTGGTTCAAACTTCCTCAAAACGGACACGTGGAAGACAAGATGGACGCCCTTCATAGTCAGTGGTAATTTTAACTTATAGGCAGAAGTTGAGATTTGTTTGACAATACTAAATGGTCCTAGCCATCTATGGTCCAGCTTTGGGCTCGGCCTCGTGGTGGATATGTTGCGGCTACTAAGCCATACCCTCTCGCCTACTTTCCACACAGGAGTTGGCCTTACCCCTTTGTCAAACTGGTGCTTCATTGATTCTTGAGCTCCTGCTAAGCAGCATTGAAGTTCCATTTGGACTTCCGCTAGCCTTTGTAGGCGTTCTTCGACTACAGGTATACACTGTTCCTCGGAGGGTATTGATCCTAAACTCAGGTCGTAGCCGTAATTTGCTTTGAAGGGCGACATTCCGGTTGACGTGTGCGTGTTGTTGTTATAAGCGAATTTGGCTGGTGCTAATAAGGAGGTCCAGTCATCCTGATGGTAAGAAACAAAGTGGCGTAAGTATTGCTCTACTACTTTGTTTGCTATCTCAGACTGTCCATCGGTACAAGGGTGATACACCGTTGATGGTTGCAATTTGATACCTAACCGCTTATTGAGCTGAGAAGTGATCTTTGATACAAATACGCTACCCCTATCCAACACGCACGTCTTCGGCGTTCCTTGCAACCTCCAGATTTCTTTCATCATAATGTCAGCCAGGCGTTCGGCACCATCCGTCTCCTTACAGGCCACGAAGTGTGCCATTTTTGTAAGTCTGTCAATCACCGTTAGGATACTATCGTTCCCCTGTGATGATGGTAAACCAGTAATAAGGTCGTATGCGATGTCGGTCCAAGGGCCAGCGGGTATAGGGAGAGGCTCAAGAGTACCAAAAGGCTTCATTAATGATGGTTTAACCCTTTGGCACGACGTGCAACCTTTGACGTATCGGTTGACAAAATTCTTCAGACCCGACCACGTGTATTGCCTCTTCACCAGGTTCAACGTCTTGGTTCTGCCCGGATGGCCTGCTAGCTTGCTATCATGATAAGTGCAAAGGATGTCAGTCTTCAGGTCTTGGTTATCAGGTACTATGATTTTCCCCCCTTTATATACCACACTGTCTACAACCTGATATTTGGTTAACGCTGCTTTGACCTTTGATGACACAGGATTCAGCACCGCAGTCATGATTTCCTTGAGGTTCTTGTCTTCACTGGTAAGATTCCGCACTTCGTCGATCAATTGTACATCGGATTTAAAGTTGACTTCAGTCTCGTCTTCACAACTAAATTGGGCTTCGAAGGCGTCCACAGATGCAAAGGTGTCCTCCGTGATGTTAGCTGGTCGTAACAATTGGCCAAATGTTAGTTTTTCGTCCTGCAAAGGTTGTAAATCTGGGCGTCTAGACAATGCATCTGGTTGTGTTGAGTGGCGGCCTGGTCTGAACTTAATAACAAAATCAAAACAACCTAAAGTTTCCGCCCATCTGGCCTGCCTCCTAGTCAACTGTTTAGTAGTCATAAAACTCTCCAGGTTCTTGTGATCTGTATAAACAATTACATCCAGTCTGTGCGGGTTACCCTTGAGATACTGGCGCCATTCTTTAAATGAAGCCACTAGCGCCAATAGTTCCTTATCGAAAATTTCATAATTCCGCTCCGCTGGAATTAGGGAACGTGAGAGGTAGGCCACTGGGTGAAGCTCGTTGTCATCGCCTTTCTGTGACAGCACCGCTCCTAATGCGAAGTCAGAGCAATCACACTCAAGTACGAACGGCTGGTACGGGTCGGCGATTTTGAGGACTGACGCCGTTGTAAAGGCTGATTTCAAGGAGTCGAATGCCTTCTGCCTTTCATCATTCCAGGTAAAGCTAGTCTCCTTACGTGTCAAATCGTGTAACGGTCGTGCCATTTTAGAGAACTGGCCAATGAATCTTCTGTAAAAATTCAAGAATCCAATAAACCGTAGTACTTCAGATGTATTCTTTGGTGTTGGCCAATCCGTCACTGCTTTAACCTTGGCAGGGTCCATACGAACTTTGTTTTCTGAGATGATAAGACCGAGGTATTTGACTTCTGAACGTGAGAACTCGCATTTTTCCGGTTTCAACCAAAGAGAATGTTTACTAAGTATCTCCAGTACACTTTCCACTGCTTGCTCGTGATCAACTCCGTCCTTGGTATGAATCATGATGTCGTCAATGAATGCTTCTACATCTTTCCCTATTCTACCAAGTAAGATATCTTGAATGAAATACTGGAACCATCCCACAGCTCCCGTAGGTCCAAACGGCATCGTAAGTGGTGCAAATTGGCCGGCTCTGCAAATGAATGCTAACTTATCCTCGTCCTCCTCTGCTACCCGGATATTCCCATAAGCGTTTCGTAGATCCAGTTTGGTGAATCTCCTTGAGTTAAGCAGGCTGTCGATTAGGCCCATGGTAAGAGGCAGAGGATACCTGTTCTTCACGGTGAGAGCATTGAGTCGTCGGTAGTCAAAGCATGGCCGTAAATTGCCGTCTTTTTTACCTGTGAATAGTACCG